CTCTGGAAATCAGAATGGAAGCGCTCAAAGAACTAAAAATATTACTACCATATGATCTGTTATACCACTCCTGGACATCTATTCAAAGGAATGTAAATTGGTATACAAGAGATACCTGTACACCCATTTAGGTGCTTATCAACCAATGTGTAGATAAAGAAAATGTGGTAGATATGCACAATGGAGTATTATTCAGACATAAAGAATAAAATTATGTCATTTGCAGGAAAATAGATGGAACTGGAAATCACCATGTTAAGCTACATAAGCCAGACTAACAATGCTTTCTCTCATATGCAGAATCTAGACCTAATATAAAAGTCTACTCTATGAATGTAAAAAGGGAACTGGTTGGGGAGGGAACTAGCAGGAGGGAGAAGGATGAAAGGACAGGGTAATGGGGAGGGTGAACATGACCAAAGGACATTATATGGTAAGCCCACCTTATTCAGAAATTTATTACATGTGGTTTGACCAAGTGTGGCCAAAAAATAATAAATTAAAAAATCAGAAGAAATTTCAAAAACTAAAATTTTAAATTCCCAACATGTATTAACACAGCTCAGTTGAAGCAGAGAAGCTCCCAGTCTGTGTTGTCATTTTCGTTTAAATCATTGTATAATCTGCTATTTCCCTGCCTTTAATTTTGTAAAAATCTGCCCCCAACAGGCAAATGATGCCCCCAAAACAAGACAAAAGTTAATGTGCTCAATTTAAGATAAAGTAAAAATTTTAGAGTTGTTGAAAGACAGCATATCTTTAGCAGAAGTTGGGGAGTGTCATGGGAAAAATGAACCAAGCATCACAGTATAGTACTGAATCCTATGCATCCTGAGCTTTTGTGGGTTTTCCTAAATGGTGGTCTCCTTGGACCCATATGCCCATCAATACCAAGGATGCATGTTAAAAATGGAATAATGCAATTCATTAAAATTATAAAACAGCAAGGAAGGAGTTAGAAAGGGAGTTAAGAGAGAAATAAGGGGATGAATATGATCAAAATATATTCTATGTATGTATGGACTATCACAATGAAACTCATTTATATAATTACTATATGCTAAGAAAAAAGATAAAAATGCAGGTGTATGTAAGTATGTACATACATATACATACATAAACTTATGTATACTTATGTATATACATAAGTATGTATATACATATACATACATAAACCAAAAAGAAAATGCAAAAAAGTGTTTAGAAAAAGATGAAAGGATAAAACAAAACAAAACAAAAAAAGTTGGCTTGCCTAGTAAGTAAATGCTGAGATTTCATGCAAGAAGCTTTTTTTATTGTTGTTTTTATCTTTTTGAGACAGGGTCTCTCCATGTAGCCCAGGCTGGCCTCAAACTCAACAATTCTCCTGCCTCCTCAGCCTACTGAGTGCTAGGATTATAGTGGCACACCACCACATCTGGTATCATGCAAGATGCTTATTGGAAAGTGTTCTCAGAAACAAATTCTGTGAAGGAAATAGGAATGGACAGAGATCTAAGCTGAACATTTGCAACAGGAAGCTTAGTACAACCTGTAAGAAGCCTTAGGGATCATGACCCTTCAGAGTCCTAAATCAAGACAAGATGAACAGGTGTTTCATACTCTTCCACATTCAAGAAACCAATCAAACAAGATGATAGACTCAAACCTAACCATATTCCACATCAAACTAAATGTAAACAGTTTTAAAATCAAATAAAAAGGCAGAGATTTTAAGATTGTATAAAAGAAGTAACAGCCAACTATATGCTATCTATAAGAAATATATTTCCAATATAAGAATACAAATAGGTTAAAAGAAAAAGGATGGAAATTGACTAACCATAACACAAGTTAAAAGAAACCTGGAACAACTTCCTTAACATCAGACTAAGTAGATTTTTGGGTACATAGTACTAATAGCTATAAATAAGGCCATTTAAGAATGATAAGGGAGCTAATCAACAGAATAGCAATCCTAAACATGTTTGCATGTACCTTATAACAAAGCTTCAAGATACTTGAAGAAAAACTGTAGAATTACAAGGAAAAATACATAAATCAGTGATTATAGTTACAGAGTTCCTTTCCTCTCAATAATTAATGAAAGAAGTAGGAAGAATATCAGCAAGAAGATAGTAAGCTTGAACAACACCATCAACCTTAATATGATTGACATTTATAGAACCCTCCTCAACAGCAGCAAAACACATACTTTTGTCAAGTACACAAAGAACATTTACTAATAAAGACCATATTCTGAGCATTACAACATATTTTATTGAATTCACAAGGATTCAAGTTATAAAAAGTGTATTCTTGGGCTGGAGACATAGCTCAAGTAGTAGAGCTACTTGATATAAGTAGAACATCTTAAAATTTGTGGAGTGATGTCAAAGCAATCCTTAGAGAGAAAGTTATGCACAAATTCCTTTAGTAGAAAAGATAAAAATTTGCTAAAAAAAATAACAACTTTCCTTAAGAAATGAAAAAAAAAGAAAGAGCAAATTAAAGCCAAAATAAACTAAATAAAAGAAATTATCAAGATAAAAACAGAAATGTAGAGAACAGAAAAACAATAGTGAAAAGTCAATTAAACTGAAACTTTGCTCCATGAGATCAATAAAATCAATCAACTTTGAGCTGGGATAGTGGTCGTCAGAGCTTCTATAAGAGGTTGAGACAAGTCAATCACTTGAGCCCAGGAGTTCGAGGCCAGCCTAGACAGCAAAATATAGCAAGATCCATGGCTCAAAAGATAGCTAGTGGGAAGTGCCATCTGAAGCGATCCATGGCTCAAAAGGAAAAAACAATTAAACTTCTAGACAGATTAACCAGGACAAAAAGAGAAGTGATATGAATTACTAATATTAGGAACTAGGTGGCATTCCTAACATATTGTAAAGTTATTAAAGGATAGTAAAAGAATATTATTGTGCCAATAAACTCAATAATTTAGACAAAATAGACAAATTCCTTAAAAGACACACATTACCAAAGATCATTCAAGAAAAACTAGATAAGCCAGGTGTGATGGTACATGTCTGCAATCCAAGTCATGCAGAAGGCAGAGGTAAAGAGATTATGGTCTGAGGCCCACCTTGGCAAAAATCATGAGACTCTATTCAAAAAATAACTAAAGCAAAAAGGGTTAGGGGTGTGCCTCAAGTGGTAGAACACCTGGCTAGTAAGCACCAGGCTCTGAGTTTCCCAATACCAACAAAAAACAAGGAAAAGAAAAAGAAGAAGAGATGACCACAATAGCCCTACATCTATTGAAAATTTTAATTTATGGTTAAAACTTTCTCTGTAAAGAGAACTCCAGGCCCAGATGTTTGATTCATTTTATAAAATGCAATGAAGAAATATTGTTAATATTTTGCAAACTTTTAAAAAAGAATTCTATGGGGTCAGCATTACCCTGATATCAAAACCAGACAAAGACATATAAGAAAACAAAACTGAACACCAATATCCCTTACAAACAAAGATGAAAAAAATTTTACACAAAATTTTAACATGTTAAGTACAACAATATATTAAAAGGGTTATAAGTCATGATCAAGAAGAGTTTACTCCAGGAATTTATATTCACAAACAACAATCGATGTAATTCACCATATTGACAAGCTTAAAAAGAAAAACTATACGATCATTTTCATAGAGATAGAAAAAGCATTTGAAAAAAAATCCTACATCCGTTCTTGGTAAAAGCACTCAACAAACTATGACGTAATAGAACTTTCTCAGCCTGATCAATTGCATCTACAAAAAGTCTTTAATTGACATCATACTTAATAGTAAATAACTGAATGATTTCCCTAGGAGCAGAAACAAGAAAAGAATGTCTGCTTTTATCACCTCTATTCATCAATGTACTAGAAGTTCTAACCAAACATGAAAGAAAAAGACATAAGAGGCAACCAGACTAGAAAGGAAGAAGTAAAACAATATTTATAAACCATATGATCATCTTGAATTCCTTGTGCCAAGGACATTTCTAAGACACAGACTAATGTTTATCAGCACAGCACAATCAGCATTTGGAGTCGTTCTGCATCGTGGGTAGGTAGCATGAAGGTAACAGCTATCTGGTGCAATGTACGACATTTAGTGGGATCCCTGATCCCTGTCCACTAGTACTTACTCACCTACATTCTAACCCACTGCAACTGCAATCTCCAGATGCTGGCAAAAGTCTCCTAGTAGGGAAATCCCCCTCTCCTCACCTGCAATGGGAGCTACTATTCTAGAGTCAAAATGAAGGTATATTATAGGATTTGAGAATGAGGCAGTTAGAAGATGGTTGCAGTAGTGAATGTGACAATCATAAAAGCCTGAACTATACTAGGCAGTAGTAGGCTTGTACCAGAAGAAACAAGACAGTAAGATTTCAGTAGTGTTTGGAACAGGGTAGAATAGAAAAAGAACTCAAAATTTCATTTTACATAATGAGGTGGATGATAGTGTCACTAAAAACAATGACCATGTTAGATGTAACAGAAAACGTGGGTTTGTTTTCTTAGAAGTCTGGCAAGTATCTGAAATTTCTGATTCTAAAATTCCTCCAAATAAAAAGAAACAGAAAAAGTACAATTTCATTGATTGAGCCCTCATTTGATTCTGGTCTTGATAAACATGAACTCAAGTGGTCTTCCTATTCTCCCCATCCTGAGACTCATCGTTCACACTAAATTGTAGCTTTGTACATAGATTAGATTTATGTAGGTATAATAGAGTAGCATAGTAGCCAAGAGGAGCAAGGAGAGGCACTCAAGCATGCAGTTGTAAAAAGAATCAATCCTTCCATAGTTCCTCTCTTCCACCAGGAAAAGCAGATAAAGGACAAAGTAAGACCAACTGGATTACACCATTCTACCTTAGATTGGCAGTGACACCAGTTGTTTCATGTAAAAAGCACATTATTAACATGCTAACATTCTGTCTTGTTTTATGTCTTAATACTCTTTAATGTCAAAATTGTCACATGCAATAGTAAATAATGGACTGAAACAATTTACCTTAGGATGAAAAGCAAAACACATTCCCGGAGCCTGTCGGGATATCAAAGCTTCACCTTTCTTTTCCTTTTCTCCTCCTTTTTTGTTGCTGCTAGCAGTAGTTCGTTTCAATCGCATCAAATCTTTGTTTAAAGAAAAAATACATAACATCCAATGGAAAAATAGTGCAACTATTTTGTGTATCTTTTTTTGCCAATAACATTGAGTTCTGCTATTATTTGAATGTGATAAAGTTAAAATTAGCAAAAAAATTAATAAAAGAGAAATAGATGCATAGAAAACAAAACCAAGCCCATTTTTTTCTTCTTATGTTGCCTTTCACACATGGCTTATTAGGGATTTTTAACTCAACATATAACAAGAGACAGATAATATGATTTTTTTCTTACCATGACAGTCCAGTCCTTTTCGTATAACCCACTTGGAGATTCTTCCATCTGCTGATATAGAAACTAGTATTTCTCTTTTGTCATCACCTGTTGTTCCTCGATCTTGTTCTATCCACTGCAATTGCCAAACAGGTCCCAAATGTTTTTGAGGTGATTCACTAAAATAGGAAAAAATGCCCAATATAGAGATATTTAAATCATTTCTAAAGACTTTACAGTTCAAGTTATCTATCTATCTGTCTATCTGTACATCTACAAATAATTTGTATGCACTGTGACAAGTGTTATGATGAAGGTATTTATAGAATGCACAAAAGAAAGAAATGAGGTTTCTTGGAGGCAGTGGCATCAAAGCTATAGTTTAAGAAGATCCACAAAGAGAGACACTGGAGACACACCTTGAAGGCAAAATCACCAAGAAGAGGCAAAACTTTGACCCCCTCCACACCTTCAGCCGGCGCAGAGAATCTCCACTTCACATTAAACGGAGAAACCAGGAGGGCCGCCAGGTCACCAGTCACCATGCCCAGGTGGCTTGGGAAGACATGGACAAGGTGATCTGAGCGGTAGGTGGAGCTCCCACAGACAACCATGGGCCAGAACAGCATAGCCCCCTGGACAGACCAACCCACACCCAGGGAAAAAGAGAAACTGAGTAACAAGCAATAACAACAATAAAGACACATTGCAAAGAAGGTGGGGCACCCTGAGCTCCAAAGAGTGGGGAAGGGAATCCTTCCCAGAACTGTAAAAAACAAGCTGGGCCTGACCAGAGAGGCTCTGGTGGGACCGGGGGTGTGTGCCCAGCAACCAGGAGCGGGAAAGCTTGTGAGAGTGGAGGAGGGAGGAAAACCCCACAGGAGAGGGGAGAAGACCACTTCCCACGTGAGCTGTAAACAAACATGCCTGCTGGCAGAAGCAGCAGCACACGCCCAGCATGCAGGAGAGGGAAAGCTTGTAAAATCGGTGGTGGGAGGAAAACTCCACAGGAGAAGGGGGAAGACCCACTTTCCACGTGAGCTGTAAACAAACACGCAGGCCTGAGAAAGAGGGTGCAGTGTCACCTCCCCCAGTGTGCTTGGAAAGGGGAAAGCTTATAGCAGAGGCTCATGCACAGGAGAACTCTGAGTAAACAAAACCTGCAGGGCCAGGTGAGTGCTAAGCTCACCCCTGAGATCTGCATAAATAACACCTCCAGAAACAACAGGCTGACAGCAGTGGGCAGGCAAGCCACAGCCACAGATAGCCATTCACAAACCTGGCTCCAGACTCTTTTTTCTCTCTCCCTACCTTTGATGAGAAAACAACCGAACTACACCTGCATGCTGAAAAACTTACTGAAACTGTATTGCATTTGAACTTAGGACACTTTGTGGGTTTTTTTGTTTTTTTGTGTGTGCAGTTTTGTTCTACTTTACACATCCTCTTTGATGAGACAACTACAGAACAACAACTGAGGCACCATCTCCACAACTGGAGGCTGAGATGGACACCAAAATTATTAAGACTGAAACTTCATTGCATTTGAACTTGGAGGGTTTTTTTGTTTTTTTTTTCCTATTTTTCATTTTGTTTTACTTTATTTTATTTTAATATATATATTGTTTTCCTTTCATTTACTTATTTTTTATTTTTATTCTTATCTTTATTCTTCTTATTTTTTATTTTCAATCCTCTGTCTCTCTAATGTCTTTTCAGCTTACAGTTGATTAGTACACTGTCTCTCACTGTTTATATCTTTGAAACTCTTTTTGTTTGTTTCTTTGTTTTTTTTTACTTGTTATTTGTTTTCCCTTTTCCTTTAACTTCTTTGCTTTCCATCCCCTCTCACCCTTCCATTCTAAATATCACTAGTGCTATTGTTATAAGAGAGAAAATACTTAATTGCACACAGTACAGGGACAATAACAACATCAAGGAAAACGATGGGAAGACAGAAAAAAAAGGGAAACCAGTTTCCCCACAGCAAAAAATTAGTACAGGAACCAGAGGGAAATGAAGAAAAGAGATACTCAGATCCAGACTCCAACAAAATGAAGACAAACTATGCCAAAGAACCCAACGAAGCCCACAAGAATAATTTTAAAAAAGAAATACTACAGGTACTCAATGAGAATTTCATAGAGATGATACTGGATATGGTCAACCAAAATGTACAAGAGACACTCAAGAAATTCCAAGACAACAAAAATAGAAAATTTGAAAAAGCAAAAGAAGAAATAAAGGAAACCATAGAAGCACTGTATAAACACCAAAGTGAAACAGAGAACACAATTAATAAAGAGGTAAATGAACTCAGGACAAAAATAGACGACATTAAAGAGGAAACCACCCAGGATATGGAAAACCTAGAAAAAAGAACAAAACAGAGCTGCAAAACAAAACAGAAGGCCAATCTAGCAAAATAGAAATAAAGGAAGACAGAATCTCAGAACTTGAAGATAAAATGGTAATTAAAGGAAAAACTGGAGAACTATTAACTAAACAACTCAAGACCTGTGAAAAGAAAAGGCAGGAACTCATCAACTCCATCAAAAGACCAAACTTGAGAATCCGGGTATCGAAGAAGGAGCAGAGGTACAAACAAAGGGAATGCATAATATATTCAACAAAATAATAACAGAAAATTTCCCCAATCTAGAGAAAGATATTCCCATACAGATGCAAGAGGCCTCCAGGACACCAAACAGACCAGATCAAAATAGAACTACCACAGCATATATCATTAAAACAACAAGTTCAGAAACTTGGGAAAGAATATTGAAGGCTTTAAGAGAGAAAAAACAAATAACATACAAAGGTAAACCCATCAAAATCACAGCAGACTTCTCAACAGAAACATTAAAAGCAAGAAGAGCGTGGGGTGAGATCTTCCAGGCACTGAATGAAAATAATTTCAACCCCAGGATACTCTACCCAACAAAACTATCATTCAAAATAGATGGAGCAATAAAAGTCTTCCATGATAAGCAGAAACTAAAACAATATGTGACCACAAAGCCACCACTACAAAAGATTCTGCAAGGGATTCTGCACACAGAAAGTGAAACCCAACTTAACCATGAAAAGACAGGGAGCACCAAACCACAGGAAAAGAAAAGGCAAGAAAGTAGAGAGTAAAAACAACTTAGGTACATACAATCAAACCTTCAAACAACTAAGACAACTAAATGACAGGAATCACCACATACCTATCAGTACTAACACTTAATGTTAACAGACTTAATTCACCCATCAAAAGGCACTGCTTGATGAAATGGATTAAAAAGGAAGTTCAACAATTTGTTTCCTTACAGGAGACCATCTCACCGACAGAAATAAGCATAGGCTTAGGATGAAAGGCTGGAAGAAGATTTACCAAGCCAATGGCCCCCAAAAAACAGGCAGGAGTAGCAATACTTATCTCTGACAAAGTAGACTTCAAACCTACATTGATCAAACGAGATAAAGAAGGACATTCCATACTAATAAAAGGGGAAATAGACCAAAAGGAAATAATAATATCAACCTGTATGCACCCAATGTCAACGCACCCAATTTCATCAAACATACCCTGAAAGACCTAAAAGCATATAAATCCAACACAGTGGTTGTGGAGACTTTAACACCCATTATCATCAATAGATAGGTCATCCAAACAAAAAATCAATAAAGAAATCCAAGATCTAAAATATACAATAGATCAAATGGACCTACTTGATGTCTACAGAACATTTCATCCAACTTCTACACAATATACATTCTTCTCAGCAGCCCATGGAACCTTCTCCAAAATAGATCATATCCTAGGCACAAAGCAAGCCTCAGCAAATATAAGAAAATAGAAATATATACCATGCATACTATCTGATCACAATTCAGTAAAAGTAGAACTCAACAACAAAGACAAAAAACATGCAAACAGCTGGAAACTAAATAACTCATTACTTAATGAACAATGGATCATTGATGAAATAAAAGAGGAAATTAAAAAGTTCCTGGAAGTCAATGAAAATGAAAACACAACCTACCGGAACCTATGGGACACAGCTAAGGCAGTTGAGAGGAAAGTTTATAGCCATGAGTGCATATATTAAAAAGACTGAAAGATCCCAAATCAATGACCTAATGATACATCTCAAACTCCTAGAAAAACAAGAACAAGCAAATCCCAAAACAAATAGAAGGAGAGAAATAATAAAAATAAGAGCTGAAATCAACAAAATAGAAACCAAAAAAACCATACAAAGAATTAATGAAACAAAAAGTTGGTTCTTTGAAAAAATAAACAAGATCGACAGACCCCTGGCAAACCTGACTAAAATGAGGAGAGAAAAAACCCAAATTAGTAGAATCAGGAATGCAAAAGGGGAGATAACAACACACCATGGAAGTCCAGGAAATCATCAGAGACTACTTTGAGAACTATATTCAAATAAATTTGAAAATCTTAAAGAAATGGACAGATTTCTAGATACATATGATCATCCAAAACTGAACCAAGAGGAAATTAATCACCTGAATAGATCTATAACACAAAATGAAATTGAAGCAGCAATCAAGAGTCTCCCCAAAAAGAAAAGTCCAGGACCTGATGGATTCTCTGCTGAATTCTATCAGACCTTTAAAGAAGAACTGATACCAACCCTCCTTAAACTGTTCCATGAAATAGAAAGGGAAGGAAAACTGCCTAACACATTTTATGAAGCCAGTATTACACTTATCCCAAAACCAGGCAAAGACACCTCCAAAAAGGAGAACTATAGGCCAATCTCCTTAATGAACATTGATGCAAAAATCCTCAACAAAATAATGGCAAACCGAATTCAACAACACATCAAAAAGATTATTCACCACGACCAAGTAGGCTTCATCCCAGGATGCAGGGGTGGTTCAACATACGAAAATCAATAAAATAATAAACCACATTAACAGAAGCAAAGACAAAAACCACTTGATCATCTCAATAGATGCAGAAAAAGCCTTTGATAAGATCCAACACCATTTCATGATAAATAACGGAGAAAAACCTGAAACCATTCCCTCTAAAATCAGGCACCAGAAATGGGAGCCCACTATCTCCACTCCTATTCAACTAGTACTTGGAATTTCCTAGCCAGAGCAATGGTGAGGCAAGAAGAATGAATAAATAGGAATACAAATAGGTAGAAACTGTCAAAAATATCCCTATTTGCAGATGACATGATCCTATACCTTAAAGACCCAAAAACTCTACTCAGAAGTCTAGACATCATCAATAGCTTACAGTGCAGGTAGCAGGATAAAAATCAAATTAGAAAAATCATTAGCTTTCTATTACCACTAATAATGAACAAACTGAAAAAGAATGTATTGAAAACAATTCCATTTACAATAGCCTCAAAAAAAATCAAATACCTAGGTGTAAACCTAACAAAAGATGTGAATGAACTACAAGGAAAACTCTAAACTTCTGAAGAAGAGACTGAGGAAGAACTATAGAAGTGGAGAGATCTCCCATGCTCATGGATTGGTAGATCAACATAGTAAAATGTCTATACTCCCAAAAGTAATCTACATGTTTAATGCAATTCCCATCAAATTCCAATGACATTCATTAAAGAGATTGAAAAATCTACCATTAAATTTATATGGAAACACAAGAGGCCATGAATAGCCAAGGCAATACTCAGTCAAAAGAACAATCTGGAGTATCACGATACCTAACTTCAAAACTATATTACAAAGCAATAACATAAAAAACAGCATGGTACTGGCAACAACAAACAGACATGAAGACCAGTGGAACAGAATAGAGACCCAGATATGAACCAACAAGCTATAGCAACTTAACGAACTTTCTTTGACAAAGAGCGCTTAAATACTATGATGGAGAATAAGCAGCCTCTTCAACAAGAACTGCTGGGAACTGGTTAGCAGTCTGCAAAAAACTGAAACTAGATCCATGGATATGTCAATCACCTATACCAAGATTAACTCAAAAATGATCAAGGATCTTAATATCAGACCCCAAACTCTAAGATTAAGAAAGAGTAGGAAATCTCTGGAGTTAGAGGTATAGGTAAGACTTTCTCAATGGAGACCCGCAGCACAGCAACTAAGAGATAGCATAGATAAATGGGACCTCATAAAACTAAAAAAGCTTCTTTCATCAAAAGAAATGGTCTCTAAACTGAAGAAAACCCACAGAGTGGGAGAAAATATTGCCAGCTACACATCAGACAAAGGGACTGATAACCAGAATATATAGGGAACTTAAAAAAACTAAATTCCCCAAAACTAATGAGAAATAAAAAAATGGGCAAGTGAAACTAAACAGAACTTTCTCAAAAGAAGAAATTCAAGTAATGGCCAAAAAACACATGAAAAAATGCTCACCACTCTTAGCAATAAAGGAAATGCCAAATTAAAACCACACTAAGATTCCACCTCACCCTGTTAGAATAGCCATCATTAGCAACACCACCAACAACAGGTGTTGGCGAGGATGCGGGGAAAAAGGAACCCTTTACACTGTTGGTGGGAATGTAAAACTAGTAACACCACTCTGGAAAAAAATTTGGAGGCTACTAAAAAGCTAAACATTGATCTACCATTGATCCAGCAATACCACTCTTGGGGATATACCCAAAAGACTGTGACACAGGTTACTCCAGAGGCACCTGCACACCCATGTTTATTGCAGCACTATTCACAATAGCCAAGTTATGGAAACAGCCAAGATGCCCCACTACTGATGATGGATTCAAGAAAATGTGGTATCTATACACATGGAATTTTATGCAGCCATGAAGAAGACATGGAAATGTTATCATTCGCTGGTAAATGCGATGGAATGTGAGAGATGGAATCATTCTGAGTGAGGTTAGCCTGCCAAAAGACCAAAATCTATGTTCTCCCTCATATGGACATTAGCATCAAGGGCAAAACACAACAAGGGGATTGGACTTGAGTACCATGATAAAAAGCAAGAGCCACACAAGGGAAGAGGGGAGGATAGGAAGACACCTAAAAAAACTAGGTAGCCGTGGCCCGCTGTGGTAACACAGAGAAACAAAGCAGAACCTTAAAAGCAACTGAGGCCAACAGGAAAAGGGGAACAGGTACTAGAGAAAAGGTTGATCAAAAAGAATTAACTAGAAGTAACACCGCACAGGAAATTAATGTGCTTCAACTCCCTGTATAGCTGTCCTTATCTCAACCAGCAAAAACCCTTGTTCCTTCCTATTATTGCTTATACTCTCTCTTCAACAAAATTAGAAATAAGGGCAAAATAGTTTCTGCCGGGTATTGAGGGTGTGGGGGGGAGAGGGAGGGGGCAGCGTGGGTGGTAAGGGAGGGGTGGGGGCAGTGGGGAGAAATGACCCATGCATTGTATGTCCATATGAATAATAAAACAATAAAAAAATTTAAAATAAAATTTAAAAAAAGATCCATAAAGTATTAAGTCAAAGGAAGTTTGTTGGTAAGGTGAAAGTTTGTTGGTGGTAGAAAGAAAATGAAGGAGGTGATTAGGATAGAGCATTCCAGCTGGCAAGACAATATGAGGTGTGTTAAACATTTGAAAACTAATGATACCATTCTCAGTAACAATACAAATGTTCACTTAAAGTTAACAGTAGAGTCAGTCTTCATGAAAACCCATGCATTATATGTTTATCTAATCCTTTGATGCTCACCTACTGTCCAGAACTGGAACATTACTCTTGCTCTGTACATTATAAATTGCAATCGTACCATTGTGATAGCCAACGGCTAACAGGTTAGGTGTTCCAATTGAAAAATCCACAGCAGTAACTCCATGTGGACTGTGATAAATGCGTTCTGGCCACTGGAAAAATATCATTATATTACTTTTTAAACTAATTTTTATAGAAACAGTAAGGCAGACTATGATAACTCCTGAGACTAGTCTGATGGTAGTAGAGGTAGGAGAAGAGTTAGTCTGCATTTAGTTACTCCTGTCCCTGACTTCTTGTATAAATGAAAACAAAAACCTCAAATATTTACTTCCTTGGTTTTGGTAAAACTATGAACCCTTAGCTCTTAAAAGCTTTACAAAATACATCACGAGCTTCTGTAGTAATTACCATGTTCTGGTAAACTTTCAGCAGGATTAGTATGCTCACATAGTTACCTTCTTATGGAAGCAAATAATGAGTTGTAAACAAATCACCAGCCATGTATTCCTTTCCTACTTATTTCTAAATAATGAGTAGAAAAATCTCCAAAACTCTCTAAGCTACTGTGTTCTACCACTTCATGTCTAATCTAAATCCTTTCCTTTTTCTACCACCTATGTAGAAAAGAAGACAAACTACCGATGATGAAGTCTGTCAATCATTCCACATTTAAAGTAACTCATTTCTTTCTTTTATGCTATGTAAACCCAGTTTCCTGACAGATTGGAGCTATTTATAACTGAACATTTTGTATGCTCTTCTATATGTTCTTCTGGTCCTTCTCTAAATTTTATATTTCACACTTCAGTTTTGAATTAGAACTAAATGTAAACCTATAAAGTAACAGATTGACGAGGGCTATTTAGCAAAAAAAAAAATCTTATCCTATTCATTCTCTTTGTAAAATTCATGGCAGTAATAAGGTTATATTAACCTGTTTTAAATCTGTTGAAGATAGCAGAGATCAGGTTATCAGGAGCTATTCATATATTAAGAAACAACCATGTATAAAAAGGAATGTGTCATTTAAGAAGGATTTGTATTTGCTTATTCTTTGTAATAGCTGTGATAACCAATAATGGTCCAACTCTACATCATCAGATATATTGGAATATAATAGGTGTCCAATAAATGTTGAACAAATTCATAAATGAATTGCCTTTATGCTATGTCAACAAAAACAAATTTTAAATTATGGATTTAAGCTAAAGAAAAGAAAGTACAAAAGTCTTGACTGATAACATTTTCTGGAGTTTGATTATTACATATAATCATAAACTTTGTGAGAATTGTGTTTATTTAACTGAATAAAAGTGGTTCTTATTCCTGTTTGGCTTACCATGGGATTCTTTATCGACCAGCAGCAAGCCAATCCTCGTTTTTGCTCTTTAAATCCAAAGTGCCCATAGCCAACAGCCAGAAGGTCCTGAAAACCAGAAACAATAGATATGAAATAAGAAAGATAACATAAAATATTGACAAAGGCATAAAAAACTTTATTTTAAAAGTACTGGTTAAAGGGCTGGGGATGTAGTTCAGTGGTACAGTGCTTTCTTAGTGTGCACAAGACCTGGGTTCCATCTCCAGCACTGCAAAGGAAAATGAAAAGGAAAAAGAACAGGGGAAGGGAAAGGAAAGGAAAAAGAAGAAAAACAAAGAAAACTGCTGATAAGATTTTGAGACAAAATACCAGTACACCACATTTTCCTAAGAAAATAAAATTAATCAGTAAAACACTTATCATTTCCAGCTGAACAATAAGTACCTAAAAATAACCAACTGCTAATAAGTTCTTTTACATATTTAATAATCTTCCAAGATTATTTTATCGTATTTTGATGTCTTATGAGTTTTTGAGAGTGACCTAATAATTTCAAATGTAAAATAAAAAATACTTAAAGGCAGGTGCTATGGAATGAATTTTTCCCTTTGATATCCTAATTCATATGTGGAAATTCTGACCCCTAAATATGATTGAATTTGGAAATAGGGCTTTTTAGGAAGCAATTACAGTTAAATGAGGTCAAATCCAACAAGCAGTATTGGTGGCCTTTAAGGAAAACGAAGAGAGACACTAGAGATCTCTGCCACCTGAGAATGCAGAGGGAAGAGGGTAGGAAGAGCTTTTGCTGGGAACCAAATCAGCTAATACCTTGATCTAAGAACTTCCCATCCTTCAGAAGTGTAAGAAAATAAATTGCTATTTGAGCTACACAGTCTATAGTATTTTGCTATGGCAGTCTAAACTGACTAATACACAAGGTCATTTCAAGAAATGCATATATAAATATATAGACAAAGATTTAATGACTAACCAAACCAAGCCTTCCTTTTGAAACTAGAATCTTTGTTTTGAAATACTATATTTTTCTGGTGACCACCCTAGCTTCATGCTCTTTGCCTCTATCTTAAAGCAATCTTCACTACCACCCTTTTCAACAAGACACTGACAAACTCCTATTTGTTTTGTCTGGATTGCATAGGCATTAGTCTTTCTAGGAAGCATTCAAGAGATTCTGTTAGGTGCTCCCACAGGACTAGTTATTTTCCTTGCCAATGCACATAGGAAATTATTGCATGTGCACAGACTATGAATGGCTCAAGTTCTGATATATCTCTAGTGCCTTAACAGAGTGCTGGCACAGAGTGAATATTCAATAAATATTTGCAGAGTGGATTAATAAATATTGTATATGCCATTGTCATATGTTTTATTTAGCTTCATTCAAAATGATTTAATTTAATCTCAATAACAATGCTAGTATATTCACTTTCTAAAAATGTATCATGTATCTTTATTACAAACTGTTCATTAATGTAGCAAATCCTATTTATCTATAGGATGTGCCTAAATATGGTTTTATAAAGACAAATCCATAGTAAAATTAACTTTATTAAATAATAAAACATGATTAAAATGTTATTTTTCAACAAAATGATTATAGACTTTTGTTTTCTGATAACCATGACAACTATCATGTTTGCACATAGTACCTGATAGAATGTGTCAATTAAATAGTAAGTCCAACTGTTAAACATATATAGTACTATAAAAATTTTTTAAAACAAATTAGTTTTGACAATTTTAAAAATGCACTAAATATATTCATCTCAAAAATACTGACTGCTATTCCCCAAAAGATTTTTGGAGTTGTTAATTAGGAAAAGTCATCAGAATCAGTTTATAAACCCCATGAGAAAATCAGTGTGTTACTCTATAATTATCTTTTGCTTTTTAAAAGCAAACAAACCATCCCCCAGCTTGATGATTCATCTTACTTGCCTCCAGATGACTTTTGGCAGCCTAGTAGCTAAAGGGCAAGAAATCTTGGTACCAGATGTTTGTGTTTTAATCCTTTGCTTTACTTACTAGTTATATAATGTTGAGCAAGTTATTTATCCTTTTTGTTTTAATTTCCTTATCAACAGCATGGAGAAAATAATAGTACCTAATTCATGGAGTTGGTGTGTTAATACAGTTAAAACACTTACACTAGTGCCTGGTACATATTAAATGGTGCTTAAGAATTTGTTAATATTAGGAGAAATAGTATTTTAAGGAATCTTAAAATTATTTTGTACATTTTAAGGCCCGCTGTATTTAGCATATATTTCCCAATATGACTACATTTAGGAGAATACAAATTTGGATAAATGAGCTTTGATATATATTAAAATAATTATACTATCTTTCAGTATATGACTCAGTATCTGACATGGATTCAGAGGATTTCATGTCTTAAGTACATCTTCTAAAGTAAAAATGATAATTTTTAATATACATATATATATAGAGAGAGAGAGAGAAGAACATTGTTTTACAACTATTTGCTTTTTCTGCTTCGGGGCAGTCTAAAACTAGGAGTTCTAGTCAACTTAAATCCCTTTCCCCATATCTAAAACAAAACAAAAAAATCCTTCATCATTTGAACTTGACAGTTGCCTTTAAATGCTAGAGGTGGAAATGTTAAGATGTTTAATAACTTACTTGATTTGCTTTATTCCAGGCAAGGCTGCTCACATTAAGGCCTTTGGTTAGGTCACAGGAAAAAGACCAAAGTCGTTCCAGATTGGCTGGTATTGTTGATTGTTCTTCATCTATTTCTCCTTCTTCTTCCTCCTCCTTCTTCTCTTCCTCTACCTCTCCATTTTTTTCACCTTCTAAAAAGTCTATAGGTTCTTCAGGCTCAGGCTCTAAAATTAAATAAAAAAGAAACAGTATTGTCCTCTACACCTGTAGGAGCTGCCAAAGGCTCCAAAAAGCATGTCTATCACTGACATTTCAAGCACTATTGGAACTGGTGGATCATATGACTAAAGTGACAGAGCACCTTGAATAATAGCCTGGACCTGTTGCACAGTTTCCTACTGTTCCATGTTCCACTCAAAGCTAGCAGATTTTCTGGTCAGTCAGTAAATGGGCCAGAATGGCACATCCAAATGAACATATATTGCCTCCAAAATGCAGACACACATTCAGGCATTTCTTTTAGTTAAAAAGGGGGCCAAGTTCAACAACTTTACTATAAAAGGTATATTATAGCTCATCCCACATCATGGGACCCTCTAGAAATTTAACTGAGGCAGAAGATGCTGACATTCTGTCAGATTTATTTCCTATGATGTGCAAATGTTTTACCAATAGGTCCACCTCTTATTTACTGGGTCCAATAAGTATAATATCATCCAAGAAATAGACCAGTGTAGTGTCTTATTGAAGGGAAAGTTCCCTGTAAGCCAAATTATGATGTAGGGCTGAAGAAATGATATACCCCTGAAGGAGGACCCCTGAAGGATATTGCTAGTCTGATCAGCTGAAAACAAATATCTTCTGGTGGTTTTTGTTGGTGGTGGTTTTGTCACCAAAAGATATTGAGAAAAAAAAAAGTGCCATATCAATACCACATACAAAATATGAAGGATGTGTTAATTTACTTAGGCTATGAAGCCCCATTTCGGCTTGTGCCTGGGGTCACCACCTGGTTAAGTTTATAATAATTCACTGATATTCATTATGTTTTCTACATAAGCCAAATACATGAGTTGAATGAGAGCTATGATGGGAATCAACATCTTTGCTGCTTTAAAAGCTTTGACAGTACCACTAATCTCCTAAATTCCACCAATAATGTGCTATTGCCTTTGGTTTACTATCATTATCACTCAAAATTTATATTAGGGTTCACTTTTGGTGATGTACAATCTATGGGTTTTGACAAACTTGTAATGATGCATGTCTTTCATTATAGCATTATACAGAATAGTCTCACTGCCCTAAAATCTTTTGCCCTCCACCTTTTCAGCCTTCCCTACCCCCTCACTCCTGGCAACCACTAACTTTTCACTCTGTCCATAGTTTTGCCCTTTCCTGGCGCCACATAGTTGGTACCATACGGTATTTGGCCTTTTAAGATGGGATTTGTTCACAGAAGAATGTGTAGGTAAGTTTCCTGTGTGTCTGCTCACAGCTTGATAACTTAGTGTTGAGTAATTGTCTGGATGTACCACAGTATATTTAACCATTCATTTACTAAAGAACATCTTGGATGCTTCCAAGATTTGGAAATTATAAATAAAGCTCCTATAAATATCTGTATGAGGTTTTTTTTGTATGTTTTTGGCTCATTTGGTTACATAACAAGAAGCATTTCTATACTATATGGTAAGAGCACGGTGTAGTTTCACAAGAAACTGTCAAACTATCTTCCAAAGTGGATACACCATTGTGCATTCCAACCAGCAATAAATGGGAGTTTTTATTGTTTTACACCTTCACCAGCATTTGGTGGTGTCAGTGTTTTAGATTTGGCTATTCTATTAGGTACATTGTAGAACTTACCTATTGTTGTTTTAATTTGTAATTCTCCAATGACATATTTCATGCTCATTTGCCATCTGTGTATCTTTTTTGGTGAGATGTCTCTTCAAGTTTTTTTACTTTTGTTTTTGTTTGGGGGTTTTTTGGTTGGTTTTGGTTTGGTATTTTTTGAGACAGGATCTCTCTATGTAGCCCAGGTTGGTCTCAAACTCAAGATCCTCCTGCTTCTGTCTTCTGAGTATTGAGATTACAGATGTGTACCCCTATGCCAAGTTTCTTTGCTCATTTTTATTTATTTTTTTTCTTGGTTCTTGGTGACTCTGAGGTTCTTTATTTTTTAGTCTTCCTCTGAAATAAAGACGGACTACCTGTCAATTATAATGGATCCTGGTGAAGTTCCCCTGGATGTCTTTGCTCATTTTTAAATCACCTTGTTTGTTTTATTATTGTTAGTTTGTTGTTGTTGTTTTGGTTTAGTTTTTATAGTACTGGTTTTTGAACTCAGGCCTTTCAGGTGTTCTACTGCTCGAGCCATACCTCCAGTTCTTTTGCTCTGTTTATTTTGGACATAAGTCTTGCTTTTTGCCCAGCCCAGCTGGAACTGTGATCCTGCCATCACTGGGATGACAGGTGCATGCCACACGTCAGCTATTGGTTGAGATGGATGCTGCAAACTTTTTGCCAGGGCTGGCTTCAAACTGCAAATCCTCTTGATCTTTCCATCCCAAGTAGTTAGGGTTAAAGGTGTCAGTTAAAGGTGCCTGGCTTATTGTTAGATTTTAAGAGGTTTTTGCACATTTTATATAATTGTCACTTACCAGATATGTTTTTTGCAAATATTTTCTCCAGTGACTTGTCTTCTTATTCTCTTGACAATATCTTTTGTGGAGTGTTTTAAAATTTTAATGAAGTCTAGTTTATCAATTATTTATTTGAGTTGATTGTGTCTTTGGTGTTTAACTTTAAAAAATCATTTAAAAACTAAAGGTCATCAAATGTTCCTCCCATATTATCATCTAGAAGTTTTGCGTTTAGGTTTCTAGTCCTTTGAGGTAATTTTAGGAAGAGTGTAAAGTCTGCCTCTAGATTTATTTTTTGAATGTAGGTGTCCTGTTGTTCTAGCACCACGTATTATATTTATATTGGCCTGTTTCTGGTATCTTTAGTCTGTTTCATTTATCTATTTTTTCATCAATACCACACCATCTTAACTATTGTAGCTTTATGTAAATCTCTTAAATGAAGCTGGAGCTCCCCTCACAAATCTATTTCTCAAAGTATTGATGAAAAGTATGTGAGCCCTTCCAGTGTTGGTAAATAGATTTTAAGTGACAAATTCACTCTATCGTTCTAATCCTCACTAAGCCCTTAAATCCCTTTCTTTACATTATACCAAGATTAGGCATCTCCAACTTACACATGGTGGGTCAACTTTTGATCCACGTTTCATCCAGCCAACCAACCAATCAACCAACCTGTCAGAATCCTTTCTAACTCTCCAAGTCACAACATTCAGTGCAAAATTTCTGCTTATTATACCAATAAATTCAATCTGATCGAGCTTTACATTCCTTATACCACTATCCTATATCCATGCTCATATATGTTCCCCAATTTTTGCTTGTATAGATTAGAAAACTCAAGGAGTTCTCTTGGAGTGTAGCACCCTTTCTCATGAGTCACTCTGTGTGTAACCATTAGCAACCTGCTGAGATTTTAATCTGGTTATGGGTCTAAAAGCAAAAAGTGGTGGTGAGAATGGTCATAAGAAGACCCAACATTGGCATGCTGGGCAAGTACCTTGAGAGGCAAGAAATGCAGAATTGCTCTTCTCAGACAGAGACACCAAGTTCCTTGCCACTGTGGAGCAAAATGCTACCTGCTGAAAGCAGGAGCATATTTCTATTGGCAAGACTTATCAGAATTTAGGATCTCAATGTCCGCAGCTTTATCAGGGTCATTTTACAGATCCTCATTTCAAATTTCAGAATCTCATTCTTACTGAATAAATGACCTCAACTTAACAGAAGATAACCTGTGAGGCTGAGAAGTCAACTGTCACTATAATTCAGCCAATCATATGATGAAGATTTATGTTAGCTTTTCAACAGTTTCAACCTGTGCTTATAGGAAAGAAGACCCTTCTCTGGGCACACTTAGAAGCTCATAGACTATGTGGAGCTTGTTTTTTTTAGTTTTGTTTGAGATACGGTCTTGCTATGTAGCCCATGCTAGCCTAGAATGTGCGATTCTCCTGCCTCAGCCTTTTGAGTACTGGGATTATAGTTGTGCACCACCACACCCACCTTCAAAGTGGAGCTTGAAATGGGAATTATAATTCCTGAGCTTATCCTTTTTTCATCACTTTGCCTAGCAACATCAGGTGCAACCAACCAATGTCATCATATTCCTTCATTTCCCACAAATGATCAAAAATACTATACAGAGTCACTAAGTTCCTTGCCTCTTATAAGTGGTTGATTAGGAGTATCTAATGCAAATATTTTGTGTATCTCTACAAACAGAGATACATAAAATGTATCAATGGATACATGGCTACATGGCTATCGATAATCAATGCTCCTTGTACTTACAAGTAGAGACCTTAGCATTGTTAAATCTAATCAGATTAAAGAATTAATTTCAGAAAACCCAAAACCAACTATGGAAACTCATTCTTAAAACCGTATTCCTCTAAACCTACTCCTGGTACCAAAATTTGTATATTAGTCAGCATTCTCCAGAGAGGCAGAACTAATGGGATGGATCCAACATAGTCACAAAAGTTCTTAAGAAGTATTAGAAAATTGAATTTAGCAATATTATATAAATAGCATAATAACATCATAAATGAAGTTTAACCCTGGTTAAACCCTGGTTTAATTTAGTATACTTTTGTATTTGAAAACCAATCAATGTAATTAATCACATCAACAGATTAGAGAATTATTTGTGATCAGTTTAATAGATGTAAAAAAACTCAATACTCATTTATCTTAAAAATTGTCTGGCAAACTAGAAAGGCAATTTTTTAAAACAAGTAAAAAGCATCTGTTAAAAAAATCTTATAACTAAAAGATTGGGGGTTGTGACTCAAATGGTAGAGTGCCTGCTTAGCAAACATGAGACCCTGAGTTCAAACCCCAGCACTGCCCTCCCTGCAAAAAACGCCTAACATATTTAATAATGAAAGATTAGATATTTTCTTCCTAAGTTCAAGAACAAGCCAAGGGTATCTGCTCTCACCATGTGCATTCTATATTATACTGGGGATCCTGGCCAGTACAATAAGCAAGAAAAGAGAAAAAATATTGGAAAGAGATAAATAAAAATCCTATTTGCAGATAATATAAATATATGTTAGGTATTATTTATAAACATAATAATTATAAAAAGTATATTCTAAATAACCCACAAAAGTAAATTAATACATCTAACAAAAAGCCTTTCAAAAATGCAAGTAGAAAGACTAGGATAAAGAAACAATTCATGAAAGAGTTTTTCCTGATCCATATTTGAAAGCTGGGAATACAATAGACAAAGATGAGGTGGTGATAAGATTGGATTGTCAAGAAATTCCAACTAAAGGTATCAAGGCAGGATAGTGTAGGTTCTGTTTGGGGATTACCAGGTAAGTCTGGTGCAGCTAACTTTTAGAGTCTCTGAAGTACAAAGACATAGTCTCTGGATGGATTTAAGGTATCTTTCTAATGATATGTGCAGTTTATTCTAGGCAACAGGAAAGTACTGAAAGTTTTTGAGCAGGCAAATGTCATATGGTCATACGGTGGTCAGGATACACTAGCCAAGTGGGATGGTATAGAAGAAAGAGGAAAGACTTTGATGGAATGCCTAGCTTTCTCGCTTACTACATATCCTTTTAAAAGTTTCTGTAGGATTCATTTTCATCATTCATTTATTAAAAGGCTGAATTAGACTAATTTTTAAAATCTTTAAAAACATTCAGGGAGCTAAGGTTAAAACTCAGTGGTAGAGTGCTTACCCATGCACAAAGCCCAGGGTTCAATCCCCAGCACCACCACCAAAAAAAAAAAAACCACTGGGAGTATACCTCAGTGGTAGAGTGCTTGCTTACCATGTACAAAGCCCTGGGTTTTATCCCCAGAAGTTCAAAAATAAAATATTCTGTAAACACATGAGATAAAATTTATAGCAATAAGAAAAGGAAGAATGCCCCTTAATAAAATTAGGGAGTGGTGATAAAAGTCAGAAACCAAAAAGTGTCAATAGCAACAAAAAAGAGAGGTTGAGCAAGAGAGATACTATAAAAACAGGTAACCAGCTGAATGCAGGAATAGGGAGAAAAAAGTGTCATAAATTCTTATTAAGTTTTGAATCTAAGGAACAGCCTGTGGTTTGCCTAGTTTGGACTCTGCTGTTACTCCCATGTTCAGTGTTGAAAACTATATAAACATATCCTCTAATAAGTTGTAAAGTAGTCTGGGGGATATATTCTGAAATATATAATAATACCACTTAAAAATTTTTAATTATTTGAGTTTGTCTAAACATGAATATTTTTTAAATTACCTTTAAAAACAGGAAGCTGACGATATGCAGCAAGCTTTGGCTGAAATACATTTTCCATTAGAACCCGTTCCATGAAAAATAAGTCCTGCTGAAACTTGTCAGATTTTAATATTGCATCCGAGTGCTCTTCTTCATCATCATGAACCTTAGCCAGAATGACACTTTCTATATCCATTAGAGAACTGGCTTCACTATCTGTAAAACACGGAGATGATGCAAGGATGAAATGTCCACATAATATTACATGACTCAGGCACTCTAAAGATTTAAAAGATGACATTTTGTTATTTCTGTTTTCTTCTGGTTCTAGTAACTTCAATAGACATTGAATGTTTTGTGTAAAATAAAATGCAAAATAAACATATATTAACTCATTTTAGAATTACAAACCATCAAAAAAAATTCTGCTTTTCAGAAGATAAGCAATGATAATCTTATGAGGTAATCTGTATCTGTCTTACTCTGTTTACTATTGTTATATCAGAAAATTATGGACAGATATATAGGTATTTTATAAAGAAAAAAATTTATTTTGTAAAATTCTAAAGACTTGGAAGTCTAAAGTCAAGGGGTTACAACTGATGAGGGCCTTCTTTTTGTGCCATACAAAACAGAAAGTATCACACAGGCAGAAACAGGGAGTATGCAAGTTTGGGTCTCTCTTTTCTTATAAAGTCACTAATCTCATCGTGAGTACCCACCCTCATGACCCCATCTAACCCTAATTACCTTCCAAGGCCTACTTCTAAATCTATCAACACATGAAATTCAGGATTAAGTTTCCAACAGATGAGGTTTGGGGGATGCATTCAAGCCATAACAATATCTCTGGGTTTTATTATTCACATTGAAATGAGATTATTATCAGTCTTCAGATAAAGGTCTGACTGATGATTGATTTGTAGAAATTAACTTATTGCTGCTTCAACAAAGTACAGTGGCTTAAAATGATACAAATTTATTCATATAGTTCTGGCCAGGCATGGTGGTTCATGCCTGCAATCCTAGTACTAGGAGGCAGAGACAGGAGGATCTTGAGTTCATGACCAGCCTGGACCCTACAGTTCTGTAGTAGGTTAGAGGTCTGTCACAGGTGTCACTACCCTACAAGAAAGAAGTTAGCAGGCCTATGTTTCTTTTTGGAGGCTCAAGAATGTGTTTCCTTAACTTTTCCAGCTTCTTAGAGGTCACCCACAACCTTTCTTCCATTTTTAAAGGCAGCAGCATTGCACCTCTCATTACATCTCTCTCCCAGGTGGCAGACCAAAAAGGTTCTCGTTTTAAGTATGCACATGTTTACATTAGGCCAGATGATCCAGGACAGTCTCCCCATTTGAAGAGCCTATTGTAATCATATCCTAAAAATTCTTCTTCCCATGCAAGATAACATATTCATAGGATCCAGGCTTAGGATGTATACAAATTCCTGCCTACCACACTATTTAGTAAACATGAAGAGGAGCCAAGAATGTTGTTTCATACCTATAATCCCAGTACCTGGGAGGCTAAAGCAGGAGAATCGTGAGTCTACAAATAAACAAAATTGACATCCCAGTCAGATGACTGACACGATCTGATTTTGAGAATTATTTTTAAGCTACAATTAAGCGGGGCATAAGGTATAGGTGAAACAATAGACAAATTAATCAGTAGAAGGGAATAGAGAGCCCAGAATGCAGATGGGTGATATCTTACAAAGGAGCAAGGCAAGTCAATAGAGAGAAGGTAGTATTTTCAATAAATAGTGCAGGAACAATTGGATAATTGGCCATTGCTATGGTTTGGATGAGTGTCCCCTAGAGGTCTATGTGTTAAAGGCTTGGTTTCCAGGGTGATGGTATTTTGAGGTGCTGTGGACCTTTTGTGGGGCCAATTGGGAGGTCCTTAGGTCCCTGGGAGCATGGCCTGAAGGGAGTTTAGGGACTCTGGTCCATTCAGTTCCTCTCTTTGTTTTCTGACTCAGGAAGTCAGTGGTTGGCTAGGTCACATGCTCCTACCATGATGTGCCACCCATGTTAGAGGCACAAACTAATGGCTACCTCCCAAAGTAAGAGGCAAAATATACCTCTTCTCAATATAAACTAATTGCCTCAGATATTTCATTGCAGTAATGTAAAGCAGAGTAATAGAGACATCAGTAAGTGGAAAAATTTATCTAGACACAGAACTTAATAGCTTTCCTGTAACTAAGTGGAATGAACTGTATACTTAAGTGTAAAATACAAAACTATGAACTTTTTTGGAGACAACATAGGAGAAAATGGTTATCATTTTTAGATACAGCATTGAAATCATAATCCAAGAAAGAAAAATTGGTAAGTTGTACTTTATTAAAATCAAAAACTTCTTGACTATGAAAAACTGTTAAGAAAATGAAAAGACGAGCCTTAAACTGGAAGAAAAATTTTTGCAAAACATATATCTGATAAAGGATTTATATCCTGTTTTGTTTTGTTTTGTTTTCAGTACTGGGGTTTGAACTCAGGGCCTCGTACTTGCTATACCACTAAAACCACACCCCGGCCCTTTTTGCATTAGTTTGTTTTTCAGATAGGGTCTTGAACTTTTACCCGAGTCGACCTCAGACTTCAAACCTCCTAATTACACTTGTATAGATGGGATTACAGACATGGACCACCACTCCTGGCTTAATTTTTAATGATTTTATTAGCAGATAATAGTTGTAAAGGGGGATACATTACAATATTTACATATGTGCTTACAATATATCTTAGTTGGATTTACCCCCTCCATCGTTCTCCCTCTTCTCTCCTCCCTCCTTCTTAGAACAATTTCAACAGGTTTCATTCTTCTGTTTTTATATATGGATACAAAATACATCCACAATATACACCCTCATTCTCACTCCCTCCTACTCTACCTACCTCTAGACAAGATTTATTTTTCTTTTTTGTCCTTCATTTTTTTAAAAAATAAAATTAACTGTATACTGATAGTCCAATGGTATTTTCTGGCTTGTTTTTTTTTTTGAGATAGAGTCTCATTAACTTTTTGCTGTGGCTGTCCTCAAACCACAGTTCTCCTATCCCTACCTCCCAAGTAGCTGGGATTGCATATAGACAAATTTTATATCCAATATTCCAGTACCAAAAAAATTTTAACAGTATCCTTGGCATGTAACCATAAGATATCCTCATAGTTATGATAACCAAAAATATCTTCAGACATTGCTGAATGTTCCCAATGGAGGTAAAACTGCCCCAAGTCAAGAGTTGTTAATGTATTTCCATTTTCAGTGGTCATATAGCTACTATGTATTTTGCTTATAAACTATCTAATCTAGAGAAATTAAGGGAAAGAGAAAATTATGGAACTCTTTTATATATAGTAAAGAGAGTTTAAGAGCAAGTAAAGAAGCACCAGATAAAGATAGACTGGAAAATTCTTGACAGGTATCGAAGAAAAAAAATTTTGACGATAGAGTTCAAGACAATGTGTAAGAGTAATAGCACTGTTCCTAAGGAAAAGTTGTACTTTTCATATCCCATCAGAAAATTTTTCCCTGTTGAAAAGAATTTAAAATGTCACATAAAAACATCATGCAAAAAACTATAAAATAAATGAAATTTTACTTTTTTCGGTGGCACTTCCCAGTAATTTTTGGTCTCGATCTTTAGGAAAGAAACTTGCTTTACTACTAGTCATATCTACTGCAGATCGTTTTACTAATGAAGGTGAAAGTTCTAGAACATCATAAGAATCATACAAATCCCAAGTAGTGGCCATTACACCTAAGGAGACAGAAATGCAAAAATTATTTTTAAACCAAACTTTAATATTTTAGCTTTATACATAACTTGTCATAGGACAAACTAAGAATATCTCCTATTTATGTAAAAGCACACTATTGTTTTTACAATAATTGCAAAAAGATGGCAAAGAAATAATTCATGAGGACACCTCAAGAGATTCTTAGTTATTATGCCATTATCAGCATTTACAAGTACCTTGATGTTCTGGGGATGCCCCTAGGTTACCTTCACTGTCCTTTCTGACCCCTGCACCTCATTCCTTTCCACCCCAAACTGGGGCAGCATAATCTTATCAGTCTCTCATTATAGGGCTGTCTTGGTGATGTGGACAAAGATTTTTGCATTTTTTAAGGAAGGGAGGGAGGGAGGAAAGAGAGAGAAAGACAGAAAGAAGGAAGGAAGGAAAAAAGGAGGGAGGGAGGGAGAGAGGGAGGGAAAGAAAGGAAAGGAAGAAAGGAAGAAAGAAAGAGAAAGAAAGAAAGAAAGAAAGAAAGAAAGAAAGAAAGAAAGAAAGAAAGAAAGAAAGAAATTTACAATAGGTGGTAGTTCAAGTAATTGAGTTTTTTAACTGTCTAAGGAAGTTTATTATACAGATCAAGAACTACATTAAGAATGATAAAGGAAACCAAATGTAGTGGTGCATGCCTGTAATCCCAGCATTTGAGAGGCTAAGGCAGGAGGATTTCAAGTTAGAGGCTAGCCTAGGCTACATAGTAAGACCCTATTAAAAGAACGGTACAGAGAAGAACCTAGGTAAATAACTTGGTGCTTTTCCTTTATCCTGTTAATGTGGTGTGTTATAGTTCCATGTGTTGAATTACTCTTGCATCACTGGAAAAAACTTGATCATTGGGTATAGCCCACTTAATACACAGCTGTACTGAGTGTATTAGTACTTTATCAAGGACTTTTGCATTCATAATCATAAGGAATATTGGTGTACAAGTTTTATTTACTTAGCATTGGCATCAGAGTAATGCTGCCTCATAAGTCTGAAATATTTCCTTCCTTTCTATTTTTGAGATATTGTTGGGATGGATTTGTATTAATTTTTCTATAAATGATTGATAGAGTTCAGATGAAACTATCTGGTCTTGAGATTGTCTTTGATGAAAAAGCTGTAATTACTACTTTAACCTCTTGTTATAAATCTGCTGAAATTTTCTGTTTCTCCTTGAGTCAATTTTGGTAGTTTGTGTGTGTCTAGGCATTTGTCTGTTGCATTTACTTATCTAATTTATTGGCATAAAATTATTCACAATATTTTAGTATAATCCTTTTTTTAGGGGGAAGGTCTATATTCCACTTCAACTTCTGATTTTAGTCATTTGAGTCTATCCTTTTTTCCTTAATCAATTCAGCAAAAGTTTGTCAATGTTCATCTTTGCAAAGTACCAACTTCTAGTTATTTTGATTTTCTCTTGTTTACCTGTTCTCTATTCTGCTTATCTTCATTCTAATTTTATTACTTCCTTCTTTCTGATAGTGCTGAATTTGATCTTTGGTTCTTTAAATTGTAAAGTTAGATTATTGATTTGAGATCTTTCTTCTTTTTACATGTATCTACAGTTATAAATTTCCCTCTAAGCATAACTTTGACTGTATTCCATAAATTTTGGTATTCTGTATTTCTCTAGTATTTTCCCACTTTGACCCACTGGTTAAAAACATGTTTTGATTTCTACATATTTGTGATTTTTTTTTCACTTTCTTGTGTGTTATAGATTTTTGTTCTCATTACAAAATCTTTGTGGTCAGAAAATATTCTTCAGATGATTTCAATATTTATAATTTTATCAACTCTTGTTCTGTGTCCTAATATGATGGTCCATCTTAGAGAACATTTCATGCACATTTGATAAATGCATGTGTAATCTCTTGTTTGGGGATACAGTATTCTATATATGTTTGTTATGTATGGTTTATTTGTTTTTTATTTAGTTTTTTCTTTTTACAGTGCTGGGAATTGAACCCAGTTTCTGACACATCCAAGTCAATAACTCTAGCACTGCTCACCCCCCTCCAACTTTGTATAGTTGGTTTACATTGCTATTTTTCTCCTGCTCCTTCTTCCTCCCTTTGCCCTCCCAGAGCTTTCCACTTGCAAAGCAGACTCTACCACTTGAGCCCCACCTCCAATTCATTTTGCTCTGGTTATTTTGGAGATGGGTTCTTTCAAACTATTTGTCTGGGCTGACCTGAAACTCTGCTTCCTGAGCAGATAGCATGAAAGGTATGAGCCACCTAACCCAGCTTATTTTCTTTTTGGTAACTTTTTAGTTATTTTCTTGGTGGATAACATGAATTGCAATTAACTTTTTAAATATTAGATCTGTTTTGAATTAATACTACCTTACTCAATAGTAAGTTATTTACTATATTAAAACTCTGCTTCTTATATAGCTTTGTCTTACTACTTTATGTTGTCTTTCTAAAAATGTATCTTTCTACATTGTGTGCCCATTAACAGAGTCTTCTAATTATTGCTTTATGCATCTCTTTTAAATCACACTGTAAAAAGAAAAACAAAATTAGAAACCAAACTACAATAATACTGGCTTTTGTTATTTGTCTATAGTTATCTCTAGCATTGTTTATTTCTTCCTATGACCTTTATATGGCCTCAGGTCACAGTAGTCCTATCATTTCTGCCTAAAGAACTCCTCTTTTTTGTGTGTGTGTGGAGGGGAAGGGGGAAGGTGTTTGAATTCAGGCCTTTGTGCCTGCTGGGCAGGTGCTCTACTGCTTATGTCATGCTTTTAGACCCCTTTAGCATTCCTTGAAGGTAATCCTACTAGCAATAAATTCCCTAGCTTTTGTTTAACTGGCAATGTCTTAATTTCTCCATTTCTGAAGGATATAAAATTATTTCACAGTTGCTTTTTAAAAAATTTTTGTAGCACTTTAAATATGTCATCCTACTGACTACGTTTCTGTTGAGAAACTGGGTGTTAAACTCATTGACGAGCCCTTGTACATGAGGAGTCACCTTTCTACTGCTGCTTTCAAGGTTCCCTCTTTGTCTTGTAATGGTTTTATAATACTGTGTCAATGTGTAAGATCTCTCTGAGTTTACTCTTCTTATAGTTTTAGAGAATCTTGAATGTACAGATTGTATCCCCTATCAAGTTTGGGAAGCTTTGTCCATTATTTATTCAGTCGTTATGCCCCTTTATCTCTTTCTGAGATTCTCATTATGTGTATTTGGTATGCTTGATGTTGCCTCATGGGTCTCTTAGGCTCCATCTATTCTTTTTCTGCTTCTCAGTGTAAATCTTTTTAATTGATCTAGCTTTAAGAATGATTATTTCATCTTCTTGCTCAAATCTTCTATTTTAAACTATAGTGAGTTTTTCTGTTTCAGTAGTCATACTTTTAATTTCTAGAATTTGCTTGGTTCTTTTTATAATCTCTTTTTTATTGCAATTCTTTACTTTTGTGTGTATGACTCTTATTTAGTTTAGTTGCTTGTCCATAGTTTCCTTTAGCTCTATGAACATGTTTAATACAATTGATCTGAAGTCTTTGTCTAGGGCGGGGGCACAGCTCAAGTGATAGAGTGCTTGCATAAAGTCTTTATCTGGTAAGTTTATTATCTATATTTCCTCAGGCAGAGTTTCTGTGAATTTATTCTTTGAGCCCTATTTTCTTATTTCTCCATATCTTTGGTAATTTCTTGTTAAAAATGTTAACACTTTGATTATTATTATAATGTAGTTAACTCTGGAAATAAGATTGTGCTTCTTGGGGTTTGTGTCTTTTAAAAATCATAGTGATTTTTAAAAACTGTTTTGTAAATTTTGTGCTGTCAGTCATGTGTCATCTTAGAAGTGTTTATTCCTTAGCCAGGGTAAGCAAGTGTCCTGACAAAGATTTCCTTGAATGTCCAAATCTTCCCTCATCTATCTCCCTCAACAACAATAACAAAACAACAACAAACAGAAGAAAAAAAGGAAAGGAATCTTGGTAGATTTGCTCTGTGGTAGGGTGCTCCTTCAATGCTTGGTTAGACTCTTTACAACTGTGTGTTAACCTTTACTTCCTGCACCTACTGAACCGAGAAATCAGCCAGAGGTGAAGACTTAATATCTTCTCATATTTTTTGGAACACGCATTCTGCCTGAGGCATGCATGTAACTTTTAAAATTCATCTTTATATGCAGGCCCCTTTGAATGCCCTAAGTATGCCCAAGAAACTCACTCTACTTTTTCTACCCAAGATTTCAGCATGTTCCTGAAACTGAGCATGTCTGGCTCAATAATATTCTCTTGCCTTGGGTAGAAGTGAGTTGCTTACTTTCCTTAGAGTATTTTTGAAGAATGCCCAATGACACCTGCTTTATTGCTAGAGAAAGTTCTGGATTTAATGAAAAAAAGACAACTGCTTGTGTCAGCCGTTCCTGGAAATCCAAGACAGGTTAAAACAGGCAAACCAAATTATTTGAGAGTAAGTTGTGCTCTGCTCCCTCTGGAACCACAGGCCAAGAACACACATTGGGAAGCTGGGCTGCTGTCTTTAAAACCACCCACCACCATGCTAGGGAGAGGTATGGGGGAAAATAAGTAAAGATGCTACAAAGCTTGTCTAGCTATTCTAAGTGGTCTTTTTCTTAATTTAGCTCTTGCTCAGTTGCTACAGATCTTTGTCTGTTTTCCATAGTTCTGACAGCTTTGACTCAATTTTTTTTTTTTACATTTCTGTGAAAGGACACATTGCTGAAACCAGTTTGCCATTTTTGGTGGTGTCATCCTAGAACTGTAGAGGAGGCCCTCATTTTAAGGAGACAAGACAGATTGAAAAAATAAATATCAAGGGTGAATTGGAATGCAGAAGTGGGTCAAGCAATGCAGAAAAATAGCTAAGTTCACAAATGTTCCCCCCACAAAATTTAGACCATGATCCAAGGAAGACACAACCAATCACTAAGGTGCACAAAAAGGGAGACGGCCAATGAAAAGTAGCCTAACCTACAGTAGCCTACTTTCAATCCTATCTTGGCAGCACTACGCTCCCTCGTCCAGCTGTCCATCATTTTCTTTCTTTTTAAATGGCATCCTAGTAAGTCTTTGTTTTCTCCTACTCTCTTGCTTTTTTTTTTTTAACCAACTCATGGCTCCAAGACCAAAGAACTACTATTTTTTAGTTAATATTTTTGAGGTATCTAAGTAGATATGAATATTGCCTACACATAATTTTGATTTTTCCTTATGAATATTAGTATTTAAGAACTATCTTTGTCTTACTGCAATGGTTAAAACTGCCAAAACAATGTTGAATAATTACTGTGATAGATGGCACCACTTTTTGGTTCCTATATTTAATGGGGATAACTCTAGTAGTTCATATTTAAATGAAAAGTTTATTTCTTACCTAAGATATCAGGAAGCAAATTTACTTAAATTTACAGCTCAAATTTACTACTATTATATTTTAAATTTTTCCACAGATCAGTGAGATTAGTCTACATTCTCCGCCATTTGTCATTAACCTTGTACAACAAACTAGAAAACACTTTTATCTTTTATATAATCTAAAACCGTTTAAATAATAGAGTGTGAGAATTAATTTTACTTGTGAACTTGACTGGTCCCCAGGATGCCCAGATAGCTGGTTAAACTTTATTGCTTCGTCTGTTCCCACAGGAGATTAGCATTCAAACTAGTAGAGTGAATAAAGCAGATGGCCCTCTACAATGTGGGTAGACATAATAGAATAAAAGATGTGGGAGAATCACTCTCTGCCTGACTGCTTCAGCTGGGACATCAATCTTTTCTCTTGAGTGTTCCTGATTCTCAGGTTTTCAGAGGCATACTAAAATCTACACCACTGACTCTCTGTTTTTCAGGCCTTCAAACTATACAACCAGCTTTCCTGGCTCTCAAGTTTATAGATGGCAGATCATGGTACTTCTCAGTCTCCATAATCTTGCACAGCAATACCTTATATCTCTTTTTATATACAGTATTGTATTGCTTAACAAATGGGATGCATTCTGAGAAAGGCATCATCAAGTGATTTTGTCATTGTGCATATATCATACAAATTATATGGGGAAACTTCTTGTTGCCACTAGGATACCAGAAAATGGAAAGCAGCAAAATAACCATGCATGCCCATTTTCCTACTTCCAAATTTACTAATCAAGTAAGTCATACCTCTATTCTAGGTAGGAATGAGTGAAAGACTAAAAAGAGCTGGAGATGTACATAATCAAAATTCTTCCACATGAAAAGAAATACTAGGAGTTTGAAATAAATGCTTCCACCAATAAGATCTAGTTATTCATCTGGTTACCCACTACAGATTTTTGGCTACACAATATTTTCAGAGTTGTAATTTGTAAACATTGAGAGACAGTAAGTGCAGTAGTTAAGAGCACAGGCTCTAAGATAAGAGCAAGTTAGCTAACTTCTCTTTGCCTGTTTCCTTGTCTGTAAAATGGGGAGTATAATAGTATGTATCTCATAGGGTTGTTGTGAGCATCAAATTAGTTAATAAGTAAAGGCCCTAAATAGTGTCTAGCACATCAAAATGTTAATTGTGGTAGATATTGTTTGTGACACAGAAAATCAGTTTCTATAATTTTTGTGAACAATTAAAGAGTACAGTCATATGGTATAGTATGCATAAAAATCAGATGGATAATTATGTTATTCAGCCATTCTATATCTTTATTACCTATTATTTGTCAAATTCTGAAAGCTATAAATCACAGTACTCACGATTATTTGACCAAATTATCTCAATTTTTTCTTTATATAGTTCAATATTTATTTGTTGACTGACAGCCTCAAAGAACATTTATTAAGACACAATGGTTTATCAAGAAAAATAAAACAAATTACCTTTTTCTTCCAGTAGGATTTTATCACATTGAACATCTTTATTCTTTGGTGCTCCATTAAATGTTTGCATCATCCTTTCAACATATAAGTCATTGCCTATTCTATTTTTACAAAGGATTTCATAATTCTTATTTTTCTGGCTATAAAAAAATAACCAATTCATCAATAAATAATTATTAACACACATATCATCCTTTTTTTGAAGTACTGGAGATTGAACCCAGGGCCTGGTGATTGCTAGGCAAGTGCTCTACAATTTGTCATGACTCTGGCCATATTACTCTTTTCCTTGGAATTACCTTCATTAATGTGGACTGTACCAAGAAGTGAAGTGAGAGTTTAAAAGGTCCATAGGAAAAGACTCCATTAAATTACCACCAAAGTACTATTTTATACCTCCCAACATCTCTGCTACTTTCAAGGTCCACCAATAATATGCTAATCTATGTTCACAGGGGTTTTTATGAAGTTTCATATAGGCATTTAAAGCTATAAATTCTTGTGTCATTCTAAAAGTAGGTATTATTTTCACAATTGGTTAGTTCTTAATGTTTTTTAAATTTTCATGATGATTTCTTTGCTCTATGGGAAATTTAGATGTGTTTTCTAAATTCCTAATGCGTATGTGAATGTGGGCAAAAGTTGAGATTTATGTCATTAAGTTTTAACATCATTGCACTGTGGTCACAGACTTTAGTTTATGTGATTCTATTTTCTTGAAATTTCTGAGACCCTGCTTTAGATAATAGGTAATTTCTACAAATATCCCAGATGAACTTGAAAAGAATACTTTCTGTAATTGTTGAATGCTAAGATATATATATGATTGTTAAAGTAACATTTTGTTCAAATTTTCTATAACTATACTAATTTGTTTCCTAGTTGGCTTATTGTAATAAAGAGAGATGTGTTTAAAATTATTATACTTCCTTATCATTATGAAACAACTTTTAGCCCCAATAATGCTGTCAGTTTGTTTCTCTTAAGGCTGTATTTGTTCCACACTTTTCTTCTGTTTTCAAAATCTCTCTTTATATTTGGTATTCTGGAGTGCCAGCACAATGCACAAAAGATATTTATTTTTGTGGCTTTCTTTTTCTTTCTGTGGAATATTGTCTCTCAATAGTTTGGGAAAACCCTTACCCAGTCTGAATAGTATACATCTCCATTCTTTCCAGTGTGCCCCTATGAAACTCTGATTACATGTATGTTAAACCATTATTCTACTTTAAACATATTTTTAACTTCTGTTTCATGCTTTATAAGCCATTTCTCTTTCCAAGCTTTATTTTGTATAAGTCATCCATATATATATCTTTGAATTCATTCTCTACTCCGTTATGTCCAATATAATACATAAATCAATGTTTGCTTATTTTCAACAATTATATAATCTTATTTTAAAATTCTTTTCCAAACCTGAGTCATCATTTTGATAGCTTCTTAATGTTAGTTTAACTCTGTCTTGTTTAAACATTTCACATACATTTTATAGTTTATATTTGATAATATCATTTTTCACAATCCTTAGGGTTTAGACCTAGGATTTATTATTTCTGTGTATTCTTATTCATAACAACTTGTTTTTTTATTGGTTTGGTATACTTTTATCAAAGTCAATCTCACAGAATCTTAAAAACTTAAATAGAATAGGTTCTTCTCCTCCCCTGTTTTTTTCTTTCTTTCTTTCTTTCTTTTTTTGGTGGTTCTGGACTAACTCAGGGCCTCATACATATGCTGTAGGTGCTCTACCACTGAGACTACATCTCTGGCCCACTTTCTCTTTCTTCTTATAAGCTATAAAAGTATGTCATGCATGACCTAATTGTACTACATATTACAGTCAAAAAATTTTATAAAATCCTATATTTTGGGTAGAGAGAATACCCTAAAGTTACTTTAGTAATGGGTTTTTTGTACTATGAATCATGTTCAAATGATATTTTGGGTAAAATAACCTAAATAATTTTATTAGTAATCTATTTACAATAACTATATTAATTTTGGACAAAGCAAACTTCAGAACAAGAAAAATAAACTGGGGATAAAGGAGAGCATTGTTGCCCTCAATGCAGAGAAACAAAAGCAGATACTTTAAAGCAACTGAGGCCAAAAGGAGAAGGGGACCAGGAACTAGAGAAAAGGTGAGTTTGAGAAGAATTAACTTAGAAGGTAACACACACGCACAGGAAATCAATGCAAGTCAACTCCCTGTATAGCTATCCTTATCCCAACCAGCAAAAACCCTTGTTCCTTCCTATTATTGCTTCTACTCTCTCTACAACAAAATTAGAAATAAGGGCAAAATAGTTTCTGCCGGGTAGCGAGGGGTAAGGGGGGAAGGGAGAGGGCAGGGGGAGGGGGAGAAATGACCCAAACATTGTATGCACGTATGAGTTTAAAAAAAGAGCATTGTAAAATGATGAAGGAGCCAACCTCCGAGCATCCGCAATACTTAATTTTCTGCACCTAAAAATAGATCATCAAACTACATGAGGCAATAACTAGAATCTACTTACATTCATTAATAAAAAGAAACTAAAAACCCTGCCTTAATAGAGTAAATTCACTTATTTCCCCAAAATGTATTTCTCCTTTTTAAATAATATATATAAAGTCAGTTCTTTCTTCTTTAATTAAAAATAGTTTATACATGCATAAAACAAGGAAAGCTTTTAAGGAGAGTTCTATTTACTTTTTGACCTAGAAGTTTATCTAATCTATGAACTTCTATGTTTCAACAAAACATAAAAATACTAATTGTATATATTTATTTGGTATAATGTGACATTTTGATAATGTATACATTTTGGTTTGATCAAATAACTATAAGTAGCATATCCTTTACTGCAAACACTATTCCTTCATGGTGAGAGCATTCAAATCCTCTCTTCTGGCTATTTTTGAGATATATATAATTATTAACTGTAATCATCCTATTGTTTGATAGACCAGAACTTAGTCCTTCTAAAGGTAGCTTTGTACCTGTTGATCAACATTTCCCCTTTCCTACTCAAAATTTCACTTAATTATTAAAGAATAAAGTAAAGCTAAGGGCTTTTCCTCTAGAAAAAAATCTAATACAACATATGCATTTTCCATATAATTTCACAGGGCACTTCTAAAACATCACATAGAATTTAACACAGCACATGCATCCTACTCCAGAAATCTCCAGGCACCCTTCATAGAAACAAGGTATAGAACCCCTTATTTAGCATTTCAATTGCAGAAGTAATGTAGTCGTGTGAACTATGCATACGTTATTTTTTCAGCGTCTTCAGATTCCACAGAGATCATGACTGTTGGCAGGTCAAATAATCTCAGCGTTTCCGTCTCTGTGAGTATTATCTCAATAGTCTTCTCTAGGTCTTCTTTTGTTACAACTATCTCTTGTGTTGATGCTCTCACAACTCGTAATTCTGAAATACAAGACTTAATGAAAATCATTTATCAATTGCTAATTTCAATTTACATTGTTTTCATAGTCACCAAAATACTATGATCAAGTCATACACTATAAGTGCCTTTACATGGTCAGGGGACAGGCCATATTGTGAAATGTAGTCTATTAACCTCTCTGAAATCAAACCGGATCTTATAGCACATACCCAATCTGGTAACTGTGGGTATCAATCCTATCTTAGTCCCACACTACTGTCACAATTCCAAGGCATCCCAGTATAATTATCCCATGATTTCAATAGAGACTTTGGGGAAGTGTTGGTACTTCTCAGTAAGAATACGAAGGAAAGTGTATTTGCAGTGTACAAAACACAACCCTTGTTTGAGCCCATAGCAATCTCCTTCTTCTTCTTTCTTTTTTGCTTTTGGTGAGACTAGGGTTTGAATCAGGGCCTTAAGATTATAATCCACCTCTAATCACCTTTAGCAGGAGCTAGAAATACTTATCAATAGAAGTTCTGGCTGACTAAATAATAAAATAGGAATAAAATGGACTCACTGTACATGCATACAGTATGTTGCAAAGGATTAGCCAAAAACTTTAAAATAATCAGAGGTCCAAAGCTCTTAAAAATGTTTTACTAAGGACAGAGTTACTAAGGGTGAGTGTGTTTGAAATTAGTTATGTTGGTAAGAAAAAACCATGACATGGGATATAGGACAAGTGTAGGAAACAAAATTTGTAACTGCTAATCTTTAGTACTAGGTAATTCATTTTAAAATATTCTTTAGGAGGAGGGGGATGAGGGAAATGATGGTGGGGATGACCCTAACTAAGGATTATTGTATGCATATATGGAAATGTCGCAGCAAACCCCTATACAACTACTATATACTAATAGACATGTTAAAAATAAAAATATTTTAGTTAACTGTTCAATAAATTTTAAAATAAGGGAAAGATGTGATGTGTTTAAGTAAATCTAGCAAAGACAGGATAAGTAAAAAAGTAAATGAATATTTCATATGTATTTGAAGCATTGCTAGTTGAAACTTTTTATTGTGTCAATGAAGAAAATAAACAGAGAAGTAAAGTGAGAAGTCTAAAGCTGTACAGGAATACTAGTAATTTTGAGGCTAAAAATTTAGGTTTGGAATACTCTGGTCTTTCTTACATTTAGATCACCACATCTTCACTTATGGTTTAGTTATATGTAATTTAAAGTAGCATTGTAGGCTGGGGATGTGGTTCAAATGGTAGAGTGTCTGCTTAGCAAGCACAAATCCCCAGGTTCAACCCCCAAGAACAGCTAAATAAATAAATAATAAAATAGCATTATAGCACAGATATGCTAATTATAAAAACAATCTTACTTTTTAGATGAATCACATATAAAAACTAATACACTAACATATCAGTTATCTATTATGGTTGGGGAAGGAAATAGACTTGCTAACATTCTTAATGGCAGACAAACTACTACTCATAGACAAAGTCATAGTACAGCAAGTGGAATTTTGGCTTGGATTGCTGTATCATCTCCTGAATATCACTTGAATTTGAAACATATTGAAAAAACTAACTCGAACACTATGAACCTATAGAGTCTATTGCATGAGAACAGAACCCCTAACTCTAGGCAGGCATAACAAGCACTATTTTTTTTTATTTATTTATTTTGGCAGCACTGGGGATTGAACTCAGGACCTCATGCTTGCTAGGCAGGCACTCTACCACATGAACCACTCCACCAGTCCTAGAACCCCTAACTCTAGATCAGTCCAGGCAAGTGACTTTGAGAGATCTGAGGTATGCTACTCATGTATTTTGTAGAGTGTCCTTCAATTTGGGTTAGCCTGATGTTAGTTAAGTGTTACAGTGTTCTGGGAGGAAAACTTCAGAGGTAAGTATCAGTCTCATCTCTGTGAAGGGTACACGCTTGGTCACCTGGCTGAGGAAGTGTTTGCCAGCTTTCTCTGCTTTAAAATTATTCTTCCCCTTTCTCCTTTCTATACTTTACTCTTTAGAAGAAAGTCAAAATGCAAAAGAAGCTCACACTTATAGTATGGGCAGTTAAACTCCACTTTGTTTTTTTTTTTAGAGGTACTGGAGTTTGAACTAAGGGATTTGCACTTACTAGACAGGTGCTCTACAGTTTGAGCCATGCCTCCAGCCCCAAGTTCCACCTTTATAAAGGAGAAATATCTAATTGTATATAAAGTTTGTCTAATTTAACCTTAATTTTTTTCAGACATTTATCTATGTAAGTATAAACTCACGAGTACTTATTTTATAATTTAGGGTACAGTCTAATACTACACTACTTATTTTGTTGTTGAAATAGTTTTATCTTTGGCCAATGGGAACTCTTTATGATGGTTGCTATTGTCCCTTTCATATATCCATTTTGGCTCATTTTGTGTATTTCTTGCCCAAACTCTAAAATCCTCCAAAGAACCATGGTTCCTTTTATTGAGAATGGTATGAAAAAATAAAGATCTGAGTTCTCACTTATTTCAATAATAATTCATCATTTATTTAGCCAATATCTGTATTATTTGTTGGACACGAGGTAAAAGAAGTATGGGAACAATTTTAAAATGCTGACTTATGGAGTAGCTACATGAGAATTACCAGGAGAAATAATTCCCTCCATATTTTCTTTCTTTTTTTCTGTGGTGGTACTAAGTATTAAAACCAGGGCCTCAAGCATGCTGGGCAAACACTCTACCACCTTAGCTATGTTTTCAGAACTTTTTTTGTGGTGCTAGAGAGACAATCTAGGACCTTGCACATAGGCAAGTGCTTTGCCACTGAGCTACATTCCTACCCTTTCTCTCTATACATTTTCAAACACAATTAAGGATATGGAAGGATCTAGCAATAGTATATAGACTGTGACAAAATAATCTAACAGTTTTATAAATGTATTGAAGGAGTAGGGATAAAGATCTAGAACTAAATATTGCTGAAAACGAGTAGAGACTATAAGAATAAAGACAAAAGTGTATTTTTATTACCTGTAAAACTAGCCAGTCTTTCTCGTTTAAAGGATGGTTCTTCTAGGTCTTCAGTCATTGATTCAGTTGTTGATACACTTGACTTAGAAACTGTACTGCTTCCTAAAACTGACCTTTAACAGTGAATAACATTACTCATTTATTTAATGTCCTTATAGGCAACTAAATATATAAATTAGAACACATTATCAAATGGAGAAATTAAATATACTATAATCATATGAGAACATAAATCAAAATAAATTGATTTTTAAAAATACTGAGTTGATTTTTAATGTTTCTTAAATAAAAATTAAAAACATATTTTAGAATAACACATGTCAAGTCAATGCCCAAAGACCTCTAATATATTCCCAATATATTTAGGAGAAAAATCCAAAATACAGTCTACCTTCTCAGCTTCTTTGTCTCCAGTTAGTATTATATACAATACTAGTCCTTCCTCCTTCTCTTATCATTTTATTGTTTTTGTTTGTTTGTTGTTTGTTTTTTGCAGTACTGGGGCTTGAATTCAGGGCCTTCACCTTGAGCCACTACACCAGCCCTATTTTTTTTTTTTTTTTTTTTTTTTTGGTGAAGAGTTTTTTGAGATAGGGTCTCGCAAACTATTTGCCCAGGCTGGCTTTGCACTGTGGTCCTCCTGATCTCTGCCTCCTGAGTAGCTAGGATTACAGGCGTGAGGCACCAGCACCCGGCTATTATTGATTTTTTACTTCCTCAATCTTACAGAACTCTTACTTCAGGGTCTTAGTCTGATTACTTTTACTTTTATTTTATTCCTGGTTCATGATTTTTCCAGTTTTATAAAGGTCCTCTCAAAATTTAACTTAACACAACCTATGTACTCAGTGGGAAACCAGGGGAAGAATGCAAAAATAATTTTTCTTAAACATATGAATTTAACATCACTCCATGATATTACAGACCTTTTCTTTTCTATTTACGGCCCACCAAAAGAGTGGGTCAAGTTTATTGGAACATCCTTTATTTATTTCACCTAGCATTGTCATGCCTTTTGTATGCAGGCTGTAGAACAGTATATAATCACTCTGTACTCTAAAATAATAGAGAAATAAAACCCTAGAAGAACAAGGATATTCATGGGAGGCTGAGGAGAGGAGGAAAGCCACCTCTTCCCATAAAATGCACTATTAGAAAGCTAAAGAAAACAGAATAAACTTAGGGAAAGTGTGTAATGGGAATCTGCAATCAACTGATGCATGATGTTATATGATCTTAGCCCCCCTTTCTTATGGTTCCTCAGGAAATATTATGTAAAATCTTTATCCTTTTCAAAGATGTTTTGGAGTGAGTATACAAGAACTCAAGTTATGCAGAGATGTGCATTCAATTACAACATGAGAGGAACATAGAGATGGCACATATTAGGATGACAGTTTGAAGTTGAGAGACTAGAAACAACTGAAATATAATTTATATATATATATAATATCCTATTTAAATGGAAAGACAATATATCTGTTATAAAAAGAGCTACAGAATAGTATACTTTACCTTGTAAACTGCCCTAACATGCTAGGATTTACTGTATTCTGATACAGGCTATAGGAACTAATAAAATCCGATCCAAGTGATCCCTCCTGTGATGTCAATAGCTTATTTGGCTTTGGTGTACCAACATGTGGATCTGGATGGTAAAGAGGTCTGGGAGTAACATCAACTCCATTCATATCAAATACCTGTAGAAAATGGGTATTTAACATGAAATAACTAAAAAAGATGGTGTTTCTAAACAAAGTCCTAGAAAACAGAACTAAGTACTGTAGAAAAATGGTAAGTATAATATTCTTAAAATAAGTTAAAGACGAAAAAATGGAATGATATAAAATGTTATGCTTAGAAATTTTGTTAACTAGGAATACATTTTTTAAAAAATCTTATTCATGGATTGTAGGTGTAGCTCAAGTGGTAGAGCATCTGCCTAAAAATCTTATTCATGTTTTTCATATATACAGTCATGCATTGCTTAAGAGTGGAGATATGTTTTAAGGAACATTAGGTGATTTGGTCACTGAATAGCATAAGAATATATACTTATAAAAATCTAGATGGTACAGGTTAGTCATTTGATGCGGCCTCTTGATATAATCAAGAGACAATGTAGACACAAGATGCAGCTGCTGCTGGCATAAAATGATATCCTATTTTACAGTAGACTTTAAAAAATAATAGAACACTCTAGTTATAAGAAGCATAGTAAATACGTGAACCAGTATCAGCAATTTATTATCAAGTATCAACTGTTTATAACTGCAAGGCAATATGGTAGATTTGTTTACACCACCATCACCACAAATAAGTGAGTAAAACTCTACACTAAGATGTTACTATGTCTACAACATCATTATGTACTGGGAATCTTTCAGCATCATTATCTTATGGACCACTGTAGCATATACCATCTATCATAGACTATCATATTGTTATACAGCAAGTGACTGTATTATTTTTCAGGAAACCAGAAAGGTAGAAAAATAGTTTATCCAGTTTATTAGTATTTTGGTCTATATATTATTGGATTGGCTCTTAAAAACTCACTATTTTCATTTAATATGTTATCAATAAGCATTCTCCAATTTATTATAGTTTTGCTTATTTTTAATCCTTCCAATTACAAAACTTAACACATACAAATATATAATAAAACATAACAGAACAGTTAAATAAAACAAAGCAAATATTCTCATAATCATCACAAAACAAAATATTCAAACAATGATAGAACTTCCAGAAGCCACTCTCTGGTTTTGGCCCTTTACAGATCACAACCTTCTCTCTTGCCCCAGTGGTAATCACCAACTTGACACTGATAGGTGATCTTTTCCTTTCTTATTTTATTTTTCTTAAGTATGCATCCTTAAAACAATAAAGTTGATTTTTAAAAAAAATGCTATGGCAGTAAAATATACATACAGAAAAGAACACATGTAAATTTATAGCTTAGTGAATGTTCAAATTGAATACACTCTTGTAGACAGCTTCTAGATTTAGAAACAGAAAATTACCAGCATCCCAGAAGTTACTTTCATTGAGACCTACTATCTCCCACCAAAGGTAACAATTATCATGTACTAGTTTAACCTGTTTTAAAACTTCAGTTAGACAAAATTATATGGTATGTACTCTTTACTGTCTGGTTCCTTTTTTCAATATTATGTTTGTAAGATTCATTCACATTGTTGAGCAAGCTATTGTTATGCAGTATTTCATTCTGTGAAATATTATATTTTCATCCTATTGTTCATAGACATTTCAGTGTTTTCTAAATTTTTTGGCTATATAAATGTTTCTGTTAGACAATGTGATCCTATACTTAAAAGACCCAAAAGATTCCACCAGAAAACTCTCAGATCTAGTAAACACTTTCAGTGAAGTAGTAGGATACAAAATCAACATTAAAAAACCAAAAACAATGGTGAACATGGTGAGAAAGAAATCAGTAAAACAATCCCCACTCAAAACAGCCTCAAAAAACAAATTTAGAAATAAACAAATGATGCTGCTATACAGATTGTTCATATGTGACTTAATAATTTTTTTCTTTTTCTTCTAACTATAACTTAATATATGCAAATCAACCTTTTTTTCTTTTTTAATTTTTGGCAGCATTGGGGTTTGAACTCAGGAACTCACGCTTGCTAGGTAGGCATTGTACCACTTGACTACTCCACCAGCCCAACTAATCAATCCCTTTTATCATCCCTCCTCTCACATCCCCCTCTTCTCCCCAGCCTTGAGTAACCACCACATTTCACAGCGTCTATGAGATCAACTTTTTTAGATCCCACATGAGTACCTGGCTTATTTCACTTAACATAACACCTCCAGTTCCACCCTTACTGAAAATGACAGAATTTCATTCTTTTTTTTATCGTTGAATAGTATTCAATTGATTTTTCAATTGGGATCTTTTTCTTATTGATAATGTAGTTTATTAAATATAAATCCTTTCCATTTGATGAGTGGTTTCATTCATTCTTTTACTCTGTGGTTTCATTTTTCTTTATGGTGTATTTGATGAAAAGAAATTCTTAGTCTTAATGTAGTCAGAATCACCAAGGGTTTTTTTTTGTGTGTGTGTGTGGTTTGTACTTTAGATGTCTCATTTAACAACACCATGCCTTCAGCCTTCACAGGCTGGAATTTCAAACCCCAGTATTTCCAAAAACAATCCAATCAACCAAACAAAAAACCAAACATTCCCAAGCCAAAGTGGTGGCAGATGCCTATAAATCCTAGCTACTCGGAAGAGGGACACAGAAGGATAGTGGTTTGAGACAGCCCTGGCAAAAGTTAGCGAGACCCTACCTGAAAAATAAGCTGGATGGGCTGATACATGCCTGTGGTCCCAGCTACTTACGAGGTAGAGACAGGAGGATGGCAGTTCTAGACCAGCCAGGGCAAAACCCTCAAAACCCTGTCTGAAAAACAAGCTAAAAGCAAAAGGGCGAGGGGTGTGGCTTAACTGGTAGAGTACATACCTAGCAATCACAAAGCCCTGAGTTCAGTCCCCAGTACTGCAAAAAAAAAAAAAAAAAAAAAAATCCTGCTTGTAAGGGTAGTTTTGTGTATGTTGCCTTTCATAGACTATATGCACAATTGTCTGTAATAAACCCAGAACTGAATTTCATATACAGTAAGAGGAAGTCAATTGTCTCAAGAAGATATTTATTGAAAATCTGTCCTTTCTCCATTACTCTAAAGTGTGCATTTATTATGAAACAAGTGTTTGTGTGCATTTATATCATTTGTAGGCAGATGCTCTATTTCTTTGTATGTTGATATTACAAATTTTACGAAGCCTATAGCTTTCTGAGAAAGTTTTTAGGCAAGACTGTTCTGGTTATTTTTAACCTTAGCATTCTGCATATAAATTTTAGAATTATCTTGACAAATTTCTGGAAAATAATATAATGAAAATATTATCTTAAACATCCCCCAAGATCATATGGTAGCAGTTTTGTCACCAGCCTATGACACTGGTGGTATAACCTTAAGGAGGTGGGAGCTTGTGGAAGGAAGTTGAAAGGATTATTGGAACAACAGTCTGGTCTCTCATCTCATTCTCTCTGCTTTCCAGGCACAATGAGGTGAGCAGCTTTGCTCTAGCACATGCTCCTTGCCAGGATATTCTGTGCTGCCACAGGCCCAAACAGATGGGCTTCAGTGACCATAAGTGAAATAGCCTAAACCATGGACCAAAATAAACTATTGCTCCTTATATATTGAGCTCTCAGGCATTTTGTTAGTGATGGATAGCTGACTGACACAGAAAAAAAAGTTGAGATTTTGATTGAAATAGAAAGATCTGTGGATCAAAACTTGCAGGTAATCAAATAATATACTTAATCTTTTTATGAACGCACATGGTATATTTCTCCACCTGTTTCAGTTCTCTTTAATGTCTGCCAATATTTTTGTTTTGGGGGGGTTTGAACACATGTCATTGGACTTGCTAAACAGGTGCTTTACCACTTGAGATACGACTCCAGCCCAAGATTTTACTTTTTAGAGACAGAGTCTTGGAAGTTAGCCCAGGCTTGCCTGGAACTTGCTATATAGACCTGGGTGATCCCAAACTCGTGATCTTCCTGTCTCAATTTCCTAAATACAGGAATTACAGGCATATGTCATCATGCCTGATATCCAATAAATTTTATGCTTTTAAAATACTGGTATGTACCTCTTTTGTTATACTTTTCCACAATTTCTTGATCCATGTCAGTGCTATTACAAATGGTACTGTTTAAAAATATCTAATTTTGAACTATTCGTTACTTGTATGTGAATATACAACTGCTTTTTTTGTTTTGATATCCAATAAACCTAAGAAACACTCTTACTACTTTAATAATTAGTGATTTTAATTTTTTATGTAGATCATTGAATCATCTATAAAGATTCAATATTTTATTGACTTCCTTTACAATTCTTATTACCATTCACTTTTATTTTTGCCAAACTGAACTAAGAATGTTGGATAAAAGCAGCATCTTTTTTTGTCACGCTTCACCATTTAATATCATTTGACATAGCCTAAATCAGATTAAGGAAGTTCCTTTTGATTCCCAGTTGAATTTTTTAAAATTGTGAGTAAATATTAAACCTTATTAGGTACTTTGTACTGATGGCTGTATGCTTTTTTGTCTTTAAGCTGTTAATGTGGTGAATTAACACTCTGGATTTTAAAATGTCAAACCAATATTGATTTCTTGGCATAAGCCCAACTTCCTCATGATGCATTATGCATTTTGGTTATTAAATCTTATTTGCTAATATTTCATTGAAAATTTCTCCATGTCTGTTTGCAAATGAGATTTTTTTCTTATACTATTGTATTCAGGTTTTAATATCAAGGTAACACTACCAACATGAAATGAGTTTTGGAGTGTGCCCACTTTTTGTGTTCTGTTTTCAGCCTCATATGGTTGGTATATATCATAAGTTATGCCATCTGGGCCTGAAATTATCTTTGAAGGAAGTTTTAAAATTACTCATAAATTCCTTGAATACCTTCCAGTTTTGAAAAGAATTTTCCCATTTTATCTAAATTTTCAAAATTCAAATTGGAATTGCATGTACTAATTGATTTTTAAAATAGCTTTTAAAGTGTATGATTTAGAGAATTTTGGTATACTCATAGTTGTGTGATAATAGTACCATAATTAATTCCAAAACC